TTGTCCTATAACCTCTGCCCAACCCCATATCCAAAGCACCTCATTTAGTACGTGTATGGATGCCATTGCAGCAGTTTTGTGGCTTTGTGTGGCATAGGGGGACCTGCTCCCGACTGACTTTGTATTTTACCTTGCTTCCACTCCTAGGAGTGTGCCTCAAACAATGTCAGCATTTTGTGGGGGATCCCTCTTGTTTACTGCTCTTTCACTAGGAATGTTGGCTTTCTGGGAGCACGTTCCTGGGCCCACCTTCAATGGAATAGGCAGATGGTCATCACAGGCTGCCCTGTATCATAGCAGCTACAGGGTTTACTCTTCTAGGGACACTTTGGATAGTATTGTCACACTGAGCCGTGCTTCTGATGGAACTGCCAAGTCCAGGTGGTCTGTTGTAGTCAGCATTTGTTGTTCTCTAGCTCTATTGATGCCTTGTGAAGGCTGACCTAGAACAGAGACTAGATGGAGCTAAAGAATAAAGTAGGGATTTATTAGAAGTCCTCAATGGATACACCTTGGGCAGTACAAGAGCCCAGCCGGGGCTACACTCAAGATGAACCCAAATGGTCACAAAATGGATGAGTGGTCAAGGGGTCTCACACTTATAAGTTTTGGTCCATTAGCATATTGGAGCTAATTGTCCAGTTACAGCTTTAGCCCATGAAGTCCCATCCTTCTTGTTTTTCTCTCTTCATTCCGCATTGTGTGTGCTCTTGGGCCTGAGATCTGGATCAGCTGTCCTTGGTCCCCAGCTAGAGAAGGAATTGTTTTGCCTACCTGCTCTGTGAAGAGATCTTGCTGTCCCCTAATATGAAGCTCAGACCCACATACTAAAGCAGCACAGAATCCGAAAAATAGAAAAGCTAAAACCTGAGGCATCGCTAGGTTGCTCCTAGTGTGTTTTCAGAGGCATTTTTGGGATGCAGTCACCTTGGGAGCTGAACACTGCCTTTCACAAGTACCCCACTCTCCCAGGTGACTATGGAAAGAGGAAATGCAGCACCAGTGCCCCAGATCACTCATGCAGTGCATAGTTTCTAATTATTTGTCATGACAGGACCTATATTGGAGGTGTCAAAGAAGACTCTTGATATCAATTTCAGCATTTGTTGATGTTATAAAGTGGCAGGGCAATTATTTTCTGTGTGAATAGTTACCAAACTGAAGACTTTTTTTAAACAAAACAATCCTCACACAGATACTGGCACAGGCTGACCGTTGCAAAACATCTCCATGTGTCAGTAAGCTTTTGCAACCACTAAAATATCCCTGTTGTTTGTGGTGGCATTGTGAAAGCAGCCAGTAAATGTTGTGTGAGCCAGAAAAAGAACCAGCTGTTAAGCTGAATTTCAGTTTTACCTTAACAGGAGAGTTATTTCAACCCCTTTTTTCTAAATTCTAATCAATTTAAAGGGGGAGGAATAGAGTTCTTAAAGCTCAATGGGTGGATTTTTTCTATGTTTTCACACCTACCTTCTTTGCAATAGCAGGGCCCAACTCATGGAGTAAAAGGAATATTGTACATTCTGAGAGGCATTTTTCAAATACAAAAAGATCACTTTGTCGTCATCATCCTCATCCCCATTGTGCTGGAATATAATGATGTGGGAAATGGTGAGATATAGTTGCATAACTCTGAAAGCTGGCATGTATTCCTTCAAAAGGAACAAGAAAGAATAATTCCTCTGAAAAAAGTACTCAGACTTGATAGTGCCATGTTTTCTTACAGAAGCAAATTTTCTCTCTTTTTAAATTTTTACTGTAGAGTGTGACTAATCAGAAGGTATTTCAGATTAGAGTTTATTACATTGGAACAGTATTTTTGGGCAGTTGTCCATTTTCACTGGCACAACAGTAACAAGTATTCCAATAATTAGCTAGTTAGTGAGTGTTCAGAGTCCTAGGTAAGGGAGAAGAAAAAAATCTAAATTCTCAAATTTCTGGTAATTGACAAATCTCTTCTCCCTTTTTAGGTACAAGGAGAATTTTGCTTCCTCTTCATTAGTCAGTGTGAAAGGGTGTTCTTTAGAAGTCTGGGTTTTTAACATCTTCTCATCTTCTTAAAAAAATTTCTTTTTTTCTCATTTTTGAGGACAAATTTCTTAAAAGTATGCATCTTGGACATTGAGTATTTAGTGCTTATTTGAAAACTTGATTCTGCTTTTTAGCAAGTTCCCTCTATGTGTCTGACAACAAAAAAAAAGGACTTGAAATTATTTTCTGACCTGTCAGATGGGAAGGCACTCAGCAGCATTAAAGCATTATGGGATGGCTTTATATTCAATAGGAGGACACAACTTGAAGTGTCTGTGGAGCCTACATACAAGAGCTCTGGAATAATTTGGGCAGTTTATGTTAGATTATCTGTCATGCCAAAATCTTCTAGTCTTACCTTGTTGTTTTGGGTTTGTGCAGCAAGATTTTGGTAGGGGGGGGAAGAGTTTATTTTATTTCTCATTATCTTGTTTGGTATTAAATTAAACTGATTTCCCTGAGTCAAGTCTGTTTTGCCCATGATGGCATGCAGTCAGTGATCTCTCCCTGCCCTTATCTCACCTACCTTTAATTCTATTTTCTCTCTCCTGTCCTGCTGAGCAGAGCAGAGAGAGCAGCTTTGGTGGGCACCTGGTGTCCAGCCAGGGTCACCCCAGCACACCTTGCTTTGGGGCAGGTGTACCTTCTCTCCTGCTGAGAGATCATCTACCACTTGAAGGTGTGTGGGTTTTGTTTTAGTCAGGCCACAATAAGATTTTGAGACATTTTTGAGGACAAATTTCTTAAAAGTATGCATCTTGGACATTGAGTATTTAGTGCTTATTTGAAAACTTGCTTCTGCTTTTTAGCAAGTTCCCTCTATGTGTCTGACAACAAAAAAAAAGGACTTGAAATTATTTTCTGACCTGTCAGATGGGAAGGCACTCAGCAGCATTAAAGCATTATGGGATGGCTTTATATTCAATAGGAGGACACAACTTGAAGTGTCTGTGGAGCCTACATACAAGAGCTCTGGAATAATTTGGGCAGTTTATGTTAGATTATCTGTCATGCCAAAATCTTCTAGTCTTACCTTGTTGTTTTGGGTTTGTGCAGCAAGATTTTGATAGTAGGGGGAAGATTTTATTTTATTTCTCATTATCTTGTTTGGTATTAAATTAAACTGATTTCCCTGAGTCAAGTCTGTTTTGCCCATGATGGCATGCAGTCAGTGATCTCTCCCTGCCCTTATCTCACCTACCTTTAATTCTATTTTCTCTCTCCTGTCCTGCTGAGCAGAGCAGAGAGAGCAGCTTTGGTGGGCACCTGGTGTCCAGCCAGGGTCACCCCAGCACACCTTGCTTTGGGGCAGGTGTACCTTCTCTCCTGCTGAGAGATCATCTACCACTTGAAGGTGTGTGGGTTTTGTTTTAGTCAGGCCACAATAAGATTTTGAGAAGGTCACTCAAAATTATGACTTCCTATTAGCGAGAGTTTCTAATCTGGGATCTATGGGCCCTACGGAATGCAAGTTTTGTTTCACTTGCTAACACAAGTAAGTAAAAAATGAGAAAACAGATAAAATTATATTGTACAATATCCTTTTACTTTAGTCCACATGGTAAAGGAGGGGCTACCCTCATCTATATTTATACCAAAAATGGTTCTCATGCTCAACAGACCACCATGCTCCTAATCCTCTATTTTTTTTCCAAACCTCATTCTCACCTAAGATGAAGGTATATTCTTTTACTAGGTGTGTGGCATGTGTTGTGAGCTTTTTTTGTTTGTTTTTGCTGGTGTGTTTTTGTGGGGTTTTTTGGCAGAACTATGGGATTTACTAAGCAAGACTTTTTGTACATTTGGGGATCAGTGGAAAGAAAATGCTATTTCCACTTGGTGCTATTTCAGTGGATTAGGCAGTTCTTCAAACATAAATATTAGCTTGAGTGATAATACCTCAAGGTCTCCCAGCTTCCTTGGTGCTACCTGAGATCCTTGCACATATTTTTCATCATAGCACTCTTGACGTAAAGGTCTGATACTCTATGTGATAAAAATTCTGCAATTATTACCTGAATTGATTCGTTTTCTAAAAGGCACTCATGTGAACCAAATGAAGACACTACTTTAAAAAAAAAATATATATATATATAGTACCATACTAGCAGTGGTTCTAAAGGTTGCTGCATTGTGTGAACACCTCTGCTCAGTCCAGCTTTCAGTGGGTGCCCAGGTTTAGCAGAAGAAGTGAAACTAATTGGTCTGGTGACCCATTTATGACTACAGCACGGCAGGAAATCACTCAGGGGAGTCTGCTGGTTACAGTGTCTAGGAAAATTCCCAATGCTCCTTTGAAACACAACATGTCCTCCACTGGGAACATTCAGAGGGGTTGTTTAAAAAAAGCTTAGCAAGCAGTTAATAGCAATGTATATAATACTTCAACTCATATTCTATAAGCTTCACATCTGTTTTGTCAGTTCTAATTGATATATTCTAAGTGATTTGGGGTGTCTTCATTTAGAAAGACATAATTTGTTTTGACACTATAACTAATGCCTGCAAATACTGTGTTCAAAACTGTTTCTTTAATATATTGACACTTCCCAATGTATAGAATTTTAAAAATTTGGCCTGAAGGTCAAATTCTCATATCTAAATCACATATTTAAGTAGTGGATTCAGTTTTGCATATGTCAAGGTAATAACCATACAGTAAAAATAGGTGCTAATGTGAATATTAGAAGCATCAAGCACAAAGTTATATGCTTTAGTGAGAGCAGTTGTACATTTAAAGAATGGTTACTTCCCCTCTGTGTTTGATGTGTACATGTATATTACATTACTTATCCTATTCTTTCCCAAGCATTATTCACTTTAATTGCAATTTAAAAATACAGCTTACATGTAACAAAATATCATCAGTGCTACGTTCTTCCAGCACTTAGATTCCAAAATAATTGCCATTTCAGTGGTGATGAAGGGTAAAAAATTGGCTCATACAGTTCCTTTCCTTCTTTTGCTAGTGCAAGCCTCCATATATCACAAGATGTCCTTCTGCCTGACTGAGATGTTTCTGTGGTCTTTGAAGACCAACTTACGTATTAGAGGTAAGTTGTTATCTGTTACTAAAACAAATCATCAAAGCTTGTTGATGGATATTAAACTAATATAAAATTCTGAATACCCAAAAGAAGTTTTTTCTATACTTAGGAGCAATACAGGGTTTGAATTTGGTCAGCTTCTTTGCTTATCTTGTCATGGAACTGGAGCATCCTTTCAAGTAAAAAAATATTAAGATTATATTTGATTGGATGTATTTCCCTTCTCAGGAAGCTGTGGCCTACTTGATTGTGAGCTTCAGTTTAATGGCTAGTTTGGGTGAATGATCCACAGTCAAGTGCTCTGCAGAGGCATTGGAATTTGTACTCAATGTGAAACTAAAAGATCACTGCATGTTCCTGGTATTTTGCATGATTCCTTGAAATTTCATACTTACAAGGATATATTTGTCTTATAAATTGATTGTTCCAAAAGACATATGACTAAATCCTAGCCATGTATACATTACCTTTATTCATCTTGCCTTGCTATTCCTAAACCTAAAATATATTCCTAAAATATAATTCTAAAAAAACCCACTGGTTTAAAAGTGGACAATATCAAAAGATTATTAATGACACATCATATCAATTGTACTGCACAATATTTTTATTGAAATATTATTTTGAATAGTCAATTGATATTCAGCTGAATGTTGTTAATTAAATATTGACTCAGTGTGTCTTGACATCCCATTTTGTGTGAGAAGTATTCTATGACAACAATAACATCTAAAACTCAAAATCTGTGTTTCATAGAAAAATCCAACGGTTTAAGTGAAAACACTGTTGTGATTTATTGTAATTAAAGATCTGCTGTGGAGTACCATGCCTGTTTGTCACTTTTGACCTTCTTGCTTCCATTTATTCATTACCTAGGTGCCTCATTCAAAAATTCTGAGGCAGAAGGGAGGATGATGTTCTAGTTTAAAACCTGCCTGCCTTTTAAGTGCCTTCCTACATTTTTTTTCCATCTAAGGAATTTCTCCCCATGGAATATGCCTGTCTGACTTTAGGAGGACACAGATGCTGTGAAAAAATAATTATTTTAAAACAATGGAACATAATGCTGTACTTAGACATGCCCAGTGGAGCTTGCCATGGCACCCCTAAGTGCTCACCTGTCAGCCACATCAAGAACTGAAATATCCACGTTTCTGTGCCACAGGAACCAGCTAGATGATAATACCTGTAGATTAACAATATTGGATCCTTTGAAAGAGCAGCTTTATGAGTTCATGAATCTTAGAAAAAAACTCTAACCTGTTGTCTTTAATTCAGCTCTATCAGTTATCAGAAAACATTTTTAAGTTATTCCAAGACACACTTTTCACCATGAGCCTTACCTTTCCTTGTGAAAGAACACAAAATATGCTAATTAGGAAGGTGGTAAAAATACTTTTGCATGTGTGCAGCTGGAAGGAAATCAAAGTGTATATAAGGGAAATTACAGCTCCAAATAAATGGAAGGGCTTGTCACATCCTTCTTCACGCCTTCTCTGCTGGTTCTTGAAAGTCCCAATGGTGTTCAGGCTATATACTGTGCTTGTATTTTAACACCAAACACTGCTTTAGCAGGCAAAAATTGAGGTGCTGAACCTTGCTTTCTAAGTTGTGTTTTGTTTCTAGTAATTAATTCTGTTTCTAGTAATAACTTAATGTATTTACATTTAATTGTACAGATGAAGACATTGGGATCCACCAGTACTGTGACAAGAAACAACCAGGTAAAATATAAATAGCTATAACTGAAACTGAACAAAACTTCAGGATGTTCAGTGTTTGACACCAACTGCTTGCTTTTAAAACTGCAGCTTCAAATTTCTTGCTAGTATATACCTCTGTATTTCTATGGAGTAAGGAAATACAGAAAGAATTTCTGTCTCCAAACTTATATAGGAATATCAAAAAACTTTTTAAACCACAGAAGGGAAAAAAAAAAAAGGAAAAAATTTCACATAAAACCAACTATTATGTAACTAAAAAACCTCTGTGGGATTTTACACTCTGAATTCTTACAGGGTTTAAGATATTTTGCGTTGTGTGGAGCCCAGGGCACAGCCAGGTGATCTTCGGGATCCCAGCAGAGGGCATCTCTGCCTGCCCTCTGGAATGGCCACTCTGGGGGCAGCCATCCCTTTCCTTGATCTGATTAATCCTGCTGATCCTACAAGTTTCCCCACGGGCTGTGGGGCTGGAGTTCCCCCCGTTCCGCCCATCCCGGCGCTGTTTCACTGGGGCTGACGGACCCACGGAGCCGGCTCATTGCCGGCCGGGGGCTATGTACAAATCACCAACGGGACAGGACTGTAGGAACGGGCCTTGAGCCGTTTTCTTTTCCAGCATCAGTCTCATTACATGGTTATGACAATGGGAAGATGCCAGCAGCTCACATCTTAGGCAGCAGACCAAGAACTTAATGTTACTACTTACTTTATAAGTTTTTTGACCAATCACACAAAGGAAAAACATATTGACAGTAGTTCCATCCAATCACTATAAGCACACATACCTTCGGTTAAAAAAACACTTGCTTATTTTGAATACAATACCTGTTTGTAAGCCTTAAAACACAATGCACAGATCTCCATTATTAAGCTTAGAACTTCCTAATATCTCGCTAGGTATACTTTTCTGCAGCTTAGGGAGTTATTCTAGACAAGCATTAATACACAGACCATTGTTCAATTTGTCCTTACTTTTCTACTTTTTACATAATTCTTCTGCTGACTTATGGCTGCTGCTTAGCTCTAATCACTGTTCTGCTGTCTCTGAGGCCTGCCTTTTGCAGCTTTCCCAAAACCCTCTGATTTTATGGATTCCCACACCGGCTCACCTGGCTGCTGCCTGTGCGGCCGTGCCAGCCTTCCTTTCACTACCAGGTTAAGATATCTGCCGTCCAGGCTGAAAGCACTGGGGCTGCCTTGATTGGTTTGGAAATTTCTGTGTTTTATCCAACTGTGCTGGTCTTCTTGCTAAATATTAATATTTGCTGACAGCAGTTGTAAGGATTAATTCATCTTTTCATCCTCTTTCCTTTAGCATCACAGATGAAGTACAGTTACTTAGAAGAGAAGCAAAAGCTAGCAGAATGTAAGGATATTTTCTGAGTTTCTTCTTACAGTAAGATCAAATGGCAAATTTGGATTGATTATGCCCCTGGAAGAGCATTAAAATAACCTCAGATTGCTTCCAATGTAACTTTCTGCACATGTCATCTAAGACTGATGATCACAAAACAATTGAAAATTTATAATTTTTCCTTCCTGGTATATTTGCAATCTGTATTTTTTTTTTCCCCTGTCACTAGGCATGGCAGTGTGTATTGCTTTTCCAGTCCATTGTCAAAAGGAATCACAAAAATAATCCAGATTCTTCCTTACGAAATTTACTTAGCAGATGAGCAATAAACATTTTCCCAGTCATCTCTGACCTTGCAACACCAACTGGCTTAAAACTGGAAATTGTAACTAAAATACTTTCAGCCAAATAGACTAATAATAATAAGTAATAATAATTCCAGACTAATAATCAGCTGCCTTCATAGGATGGTTTTAGCTTTGAAACATTTACACTATCCCTGCATTACCTGCTTAAAAGCAATTTCAGTTAATGCTATCACACAGCAGTACTGTGACAGTTAAAGACGTTTATATTAGCACAACTTTTCTTTAGCTCAAGTTTTACAACTCCTGCATTGCTCAGAGCATTCATTAATGTTCAGACATTATTACATGACAACTCTGAAAAATCTAATTGATTTTTTAGACAACTTCACAAAGCCATGTCTACGCTGTTAGCTTATCCAAATGAAAATTCCCATGGAATTGTGCATGCATATGAAGGCAGAATGTGTTCTGGAAGGATTAGTTCTTCCCATCACTGCAAGGTGTGTTTGGAGCAGGCTGAAGCCCCGCTGGGGATGGGTGTGAAGGTGCAGCCATGTGGCAAATCCACACCGCTGCAGAGGATGCTGTGTCAGGCGGGGCCAGCGCGGCTCTGGGAAGGTGGGGAGGTGAGGGAGGGCTCTAGGCAGGGAGGAGCCTCACAGGTTTGCATCACTTGGGCTCAGTGTAGTGGTATCCCACAGGGCTGCATGTGTGAACGGAGGAGCAGGCCCAGATAACCCTTGTCACCAGCAGCCCCAGTGGTGCCTTTTACACGTGTGACAGGAAAGAGGAACTCAAGCTGCTGCACCTTGTGCCTGGGAATGTAGGGGTGCCCCTGGCATAGAGCCTGCACAGCACATTTTGCACTGGGAAACTTTATTCACAGCTGTTGATTTGTACAGATAGTTTGGTATCTGTACAGGCAATTTCCCATTTTGCATATGTGGATAAATATTCCAGTATTTATGAAAGCAGCCATTGAAAATGTGATCTTACATGCCTAATTAATATTATCATAACAGTTCCACCAACGCTGGCTTCAGTCCAATGAAACACAAAGAGAAGTTGTATGCTGGTGTCCTCTTTTGTTGATGTATGAAATCCTTCATTTTTTCACTGTATAGCACTTCTATTGTAAGCTGTTTTTTGCAGGGAGGTTTAAGCACAACTGCTAAGTCATTCAGTCTGGAAATTGGCGTACAAACTGACAGCTTGGAGCTCAAAACTTTTCATCAGGTTTCCTTTAAATAGGAATAGATTATAAACAATGTGTTCTAGTTTCTCATGGTTTTATTGTACACTTATGAGCAGAAAACTGCTCACTTTTAAATGAAGAAATTTCACAAGTTATTAGAGCCTGATTCTCAGCCATGAAACAAGCCAATTATTGGCAACTCCAGAGGAAGCTTTGCCTCCTGGTTTCTAGAATTAATGTATTAGGTCAGGATTTTCACAATAGTGTGCTGAACACTAATAAATTTGTTAAAGGACTTCAGCAGTCATGCAGCTTTTTCTTTGCTTGACTTGGCAGATTCTTCAGACCAAATTTGCAAGAACATCCTGTAAATAACTAGACTCTGTAAGTTATGGCATTCACATTTGCCTGTTGTTAATATTTCTATATATGCATATATTCATGCATATGTATTTTGCAGACAAGTTAGTGCCTGCTTTTTGAAATTAGGCAATGAAAGGTTAGTTCAGAAGAATAGAATCTACTTAGGATGCTTGAAACTTGAAACTGAGTTAATATACTGAACAGCAGATACTTTTTCACTGCAAGTGCCTAGCAGCTGGGTAAGCTTTGCACACAATTGCCATGGGGAAATCATGGTCATTGTGGATAGAGCATGCCAACTGTTCCTATGATTGAGCCTTCCAAAAACAGATCCTTTGACAATAGAAACCATGGCCGTTTCCTTCCAGCTGTAGGTAAGTTTTACATGTAATGCAACTCCTAGAAACCTTGGATTTGTGTTTACACAAAAAAGGAAGTTCAACTCATAGAACTTTTAAAAATGACACATGTAAATGTGTGTTTGCACACACACACTTTATATGTATACAGTCACTTACATATACACATTTCTCTACAATCTTTATTTTTTCCCCCTCACTTTTATTTGACAGCTCGAGATTATCCTTGGATCCTGAAAACCAAGCGAGCGGACAAACTGCGAGATGCACTCAAGGAGGTAGAGGTATGGTTCAGAAAGGTTCAAGCACAGCAACATCTCATCTGGTTTTCAAACCTCTTTCAACAGCTTTAATTTTCATAAAGATCCAACTCTCCCAGTGATGATAAATGTGCTTTTGTCTGGTGGGCTCTTCTGAAACAGCTGCATCTTTGTGTGGCACTTTTCATCTGTAAACTGGAAAATCAGAAGTCTGTTAACTGATAGTGACAATGTGTGCTGCCAACTCCACTCTCTGCTTTCTGTTGTCCTTTAGGACTTGATGCAGTACAGTCCATGTGTGCTGAGCAAATGGAAGAACAAACATACCTGTCAGGTACAGTGTCATCAAAAGGTCTTGCAGTGTTCACTTGGTGGTGCTGAACAGCCATTCAGTGATGGGAGCAGTAGTGTTAAAATGTTAACACTGAAGATCACTGGAGTTTTTTTACTATATGGGCCCTTGTTAAGTAAATTTGGTTTATTTAAATTTCTACCCTGAAAAGCATCCTTCAAATAAAAAGCCTGGGGTTTATCAACACAAAGAAATTACATTAAAAGGCCCTGATTCTGTGAGATGATGATGGTGATGATTACTATTATTATTGTTAATTATTGTTGTTATTACTATTATTGTTTGGGGAAACTGAAAACATCCTGTACCTTAAAATAGCAAGCTGAGGGAACAGTTATGTATTAAAATATATAGATAGGTCTGGAATCTGTGTTATATTATTTTTATGTCTTAATGATCTATTTGCCTGTCACAAATCTTTTTGCTTTATGCTTGTGTAATATGGAAGGAAAGTTATAACTCCAAACCAACAAGGTCATTAATCAAGCTATGGGATAAAAGAGATTGTGACATGTGGCACACAAACAGTTATGTCTCTGGCTATATGATTTCCACATTTTGTGTACAAGAAACCCTTTTTCACATGCTCACTAAGAACAGCAGGGCAGGGAGGAGAGCTGAACATGAAGTGCTCCCCAATCATGTGCTTCTTCTGAAAAACATATGTAGTGAATTTTATATGTTTATACAACCTTCATGAGGAAATGCATCATATTTGAAACTGCTTTGGCATGGGGAATACTTGTCAATATTACTGTTTCAAAAAAGGAACTTTGTCTTCTAACCTTTATGCTTTTCAGACTCATAATTTTTTCTTCTTATTCAAGTAGTTCCAAATGTGTGTCAGCAGAATGATTGTTAAATATCCAAACACTGTGCAGCTAAAATTCCAGAAATGCCTTTGAGAATAGCAAAATTTTTAAATGCTTGACATGCCAAATGGTATGTAGTCTTTTCATATCAATAATAAAAATATGATTGTCTAAGTTATATTTGCCTATCAGATCTTACTGCTAGTAAGTGTATATCATTCACATACAAATTACATAGTATACATCTGTGAATGTTAATCTTCTAGAGCTGATTTAAATATTAATTGCTAATTTGGGGGAATCATTTTTTCCTGTTATTATTGTTCTGATTAGGAAAGGAATTTGGTTAAGAAACACCGAGTCAATTAGCTGTGAGCACATTCATTTGCATCCCAGTTTGCTGTCTCTTCATTTGCTTTCCTTGTCCATTCTCCCTTTACCATTTTCCTTCCCCTCCCATTCATCAGCACCCACCTGCAGTGTGTACAGTGCATACTTTGGAAAAGTAAACTTCTTGCCAGGATGTGTTGTCCTGCCTACACAATATAACACCTCTGGCTGACTATCAGTTCTGTATAAAACTATTCTTTGTTTTTTGACTTCACATCCTCTAAGTTGTTTCGGGCTTGCATCAACATGAATGAGACAAATGCAATTTAACTTATTTCTTCTATGAGATGGGAAATAAAAGAGATGGGTGTTTTCATCTTAGTGTATTAGGTATTGAACCATGTAATGGGGTAGTTTAATAAATTGAGTATTTGGGATGTTTTTTCAGATGGCTTCTAAGGCCAGAGTATAAGTGATGGTACAGGTTATAACATAACCAGAGTGAAAGTTATAGATAAAAATCATAGTAATTTCTCTGTCCTTAAATTCTGCTTTTGGTTTCTCAATCACAAAACAAAATGGTTTTGTTTAATAGTGACTGATTATTGAAATCTCCAGCAAGGGTTAGAGTGTTTTGCCAAAACAATTGTGTTATTCCACTTTCTGTCTTCCTGAAAATAAAAGACCTCCAACAAAAGAAAATAAAATAGAGAAAAATTAATCATTTGGAAGAATCTAGAACAGAAAAGCTGTCTTCTATCAATTTTGATGTCAGATGGTTTTTTTTTCTGCTGCTCATTTGTCTTTGAGCATTTGGCAGCAATAATTGAACTCTCCCTCTTTGATGCAAATGTTCTGAAGCTTCTGGAGAATATGTTGTGTATTTATTTTTTAATTCTAAGTAGAATACTAATTAACTGTTTCAGCAGAGTGTGCTTACCATGCAATGGTGTCATCTGTGGCATAACACTGCTGTATTCACAGCCTTTTTTGGATGAATACCAGAGCTAGTGGGAAGAGTCCACATTTGCATTTACTTTGGAGAGTTAAAGCAGTGTGTCAGACAAACAGCATGAAGAACATGTAGGAAATTACCTTGATTTTCATAATTTCAATATTTGGGGCTAAATTTGAGCATATGGTTTTAATTATAGTATTTGTTTTTCCTTTGTTTTTAGTAGCAATGCAAGGTCAAATAAACTTTATAGAAATTAAAATATTTAATTCAACAGCCACATTTCCCCATTTTAATTAAATGTTATTTATATTTGAATCGGCCATACCTGTAGCTGAACCAGAAGCAGTTCCCTTTGTATTGTAATAACAATGTGCCATCCAGAAACTCAGTGGCTGCTGTACCTTGAGCAAGACAAATGGAATGAAAACTGAAAGGTGATGTAATGAAAACAAAACTATACTTTGAAAGAGTAGTGTGATTTCTCTCAGGTTTTGTGCAAAACAATCATAGGGCTGCTGCCAGTGTGCCTTCTGTAGCCTAAATATACAATATACCACTATTCCTAATCCCTCAATCTTCCTCCAGCACTTCCATATTAGAAGTGGCCCATAGGCAAAAATTGGGGTCTGTAATTTTAAATATGCATCTGCTAAAAATAAGCATGCAGTCATGGTAACTGTTCATGTGCAAATGGCCAATTAGGTTTCATGCATATGCCCCAATGAGAAATCCAATTGTTTTGCCTGCAGATTATCTTGTCCATTGCATGAGTGTGTTTCTCAAAGTTGGCTTTTCTATATGAGTTTGCCGAGAAGACCTTAATGCTGGCCTGTGTTTCTACCTTTGTTAGTATTTAATTTTATGTATCAAAATTTATCCTATTACTTTTGGGGTTTTTTTGGTTTTGTTTGTTGTTGTTGTTTTGGTTTTTTGGTGGTTTTTTTTTTGGTGTGCAATCAGTGCAATAGAAGTTTCATATTTACTTCCTTGTCCATTGCCAAAAAAACCCCAATGACCTTTATTTTTGCAGTCCTAAGTATACATTCCACCACTTCTTAGAGCTTCTGAAATAGATGATGTGCCAGTTCACGGAAACATAACCTAGACAGTACAGGGATTTTTATCAAGGAGCTTGCTCTCATATTTAAAAGAGCTTAGTTGAGTCCTAAAGGACTGAGGTCTTCTCTTTAGCTGTGTTCCAATAGGATGTGAACCCACACCATTTCTGTATGGTACTTCTGATCCCCAACTTTGATGACCTGTGTTGAGTTGCTGAAATAATCCTGTAATCTTCAGTTAGCTGATGTCAAAGGAAAATAAATAGACCATAAAAGAAGGATGACAGGAAAAAGACAAGAAGTCTTTACAATAAGATGCCACTGTGCTCCTCAGCTTTCCCTGCCAAGGAGTAATAACCTAAGGAATTAATTTTATCAGTATTGTTGAGTTTACTCAGCTCAGATCTGGCTGCTTCTTGTCTTTGTCTCCTTCTCTAATTCTTTGGAATGCTTTTAAGTTTTGCCACAAAATCATGAAATCTTCCTATGAAATGATGCCATTGCTTAAGGTTTGGTGTTACAATATAAAGCAATAAAAATAAATGAGATCTAGCTGAAACATTTGATTTCCAAATTTTTTTTAGTTTTACATTTGCATTATGATGTTGAATTAAGCACATGCCAACATTGTTATACAGTTTATTGTATAAAAGCCAAGCACTAGCTATGAATCATATCTGTTACCTACTAATGAAAAAGATTTATGTATACTTTGCTAAATTGTTTTGATTTCATTTAGTTGTATTTGTATTGCAATTTACATATGTGTATAAATAGTTTTTCTGTTGCCATCGTCGACATACTTGGAACTGGATTCTGAACTGAGCTCCACAGCAATATTTTCTTGCTTGTTCTGTCAGCTACAATGCCCATTAGCAAACTGATTTAGCAAGGCACATGGTGACGTAGCACATTTGATATCAAAACCAAGACATTCTGTCTAGAATACATGAGAAGCCAGCACCCATCCCCAATTACTAAGAGGAACACTGCCCTCATATTAAATTCTTTTGGTTGCTTTTGATCACAACCATTAATGTGTTGTGTGGTTTTAGATATTTGGAGCTAGAAGTACAAATGCATTGATTATTGTGAAACAGTAACGTGTAACAACAATAACTTCATCTGTAATAAGGCATGCAACGCAGTAATTATGGTGGGGTGGCTAAGAAAGCAATCTGGAATGAAGAGGTGGGGAAAAACCCTGGGAACCTGCTTGAACAAGAAGTGCTTTGCAATTCTCTTCTTCTTTTGCATATTCCTTTGTCAGTTGGGCTCTCTAAGGGAAAACAGTTTGCAGCAATATTTTTTACAGGCATATTTTCTTTCTCTTCCAATTTTAATCAGATAGAAGCAAATCCTGGCTTTTCTCCACAGGTATCTTTTTAGGTAGAAGAACTGATAAGCAGCTGAGCTGCATGAATGAGAAGTCAAGAGCTCAGGCTTCTGAGGATAAAGGGATCTGCTTAAGTAGATGCTTAAGTTGTACTAAAGTCCATAAGTCATGAACTTGTGCTTAAGTCTTTTGCTTAATAAAAACTATCTCAAATACATATTAGAGCACTTTGCTATTGGAGAAGGGAAATGCTAAGTCTTCCCTTGAGTATCCTCTGCTGGTTATGCCTTTCTTGCTCAGTGGAGAGCAATTTTTGGCATATAAAATACATAATCCTTTCTATCAAAGTCTTCACATTCAATTCCTCCATAACAGAGAAATTAAGTGGCCCTTCCTTCCCGTATGGAGAATAACTAGGTGCCCAAACATTTTACTCAGACTACATTTAAGTACAAAGTCTCTGCTTTATTCTTCCAATAGGTATGAAGTCATGCTTTCATATTTTGTTTAAGAACACCTTGTGACTGTTTAAGCTCTGGAGATAGCTCTTCTGATTTTATTTTTCCCATCACAGTGCTTCAATCTGAAAAATTTATGATGTGTTTTATCATTGTGAATTTCTTTCCCTAATTTAATATCTGTTAGATGGAATGATGTGGTGCCTTGTGTAAATAATGCCTCTTACATTGGCTTTTATTCCTTAGCATTTATGGGCTGTTCCCTTTGGAGATGGATCACTGTGTATCCCTGTTCAAGCCAAGTTTGCAGTCTTCCCTATTTGCTTTATATTCATTCATGCTTCTGACTGGACTGCTCCCATCTACCAAAATATGAGCTTAACTGGGCAAGCTTAGTTGTGACAGCACCTAAATCTTATTATCATAGAACAGTCTTTGCACAGACTACACAGAATGTAGCAAATTGAAATTGTGGTTTCAATTTGAGGACATAAATATTTTCTCTTTTATGGAATATTTTTGATGAAAGATAGCATAGAATCGTAGAATCATTTAGAGTTGAGAAGACCCTTAAGAGTGAGTCCAGCTGTTAACCTAATGCTCCAAAGCTCATCACTAAAACTTGCCCTTAAGTTCTACATCTACACATCTTTAATACCTCCACGGGTGGTGACTCTATCACTGCCCTGTTTTCTTTAAGTGCCTGCTTGTACTTCGTGGTAAACTCTAAGAACTAATTTTTAAAAAACCTCAGTTCTAATTAAAAGCATTTTTAAAGGGAGATGGATGAAATACTAACCTTGCATGGCAATATAGTGTGTAAAGTCTCTGATTAACCTTTTAAATTTAAACTCTAAAATTTCCTAGAAGAATGAATTTAAACCTATGGACCAACCACACTAAGTTATTATAACAACAATTTGTTAAAATACAATTTAAGATTTCCCAAATATCTCAGATTTCTGAGGAGAGTAATGAGAAAGAATGTTTTGCTGTAAAATGAAAGAAGGAAGGGAGCACAATGAGAGAAACAATAGAAGTAATGGAAATGATACTACATTTACCTACTATCTGTAATTCTGTCATGCAATAGTGATAGCACAGAGATCTGTACAGTACTGAAAATCCATAACATCGGTTTAACTTTGGTTTTTAACTAGTTTCATAGATGTAAAGCAAAGCACACCCATTAGCACAACATTTTATATTTATTTAAATGTCTTGTCATGAGACACTGGAGATGTTTTCATTTATTTCTATTCTAGCTCTGTAACAGGTGTGATTTATGCCTTTACCAGAAAATTAATACATAGGCATAAAGTGAATTTGCACACCGACTGCACCATCCCTCTTGTTGGCACATAACACTGTAAGATTGGGGGTGTTTCACTTCACTCTATCAGGCTGATATCCATTCAGTTATTCAGAACTGAGCTTTCTAGAGTATTTATGTAATTTTGCTTCATTGTTGCTTACATCACAGTGTGGTAGCTCCTGGGTTTCAACCCTCAGTTTTTCCAGCAGGTTTTTTGGACAGTTATGGACTACAGCCAACTGTAGTCAAACCTTGCTGGACTTCATGTTACCAAGTTGGAAATAAATTGTGATTTTATCTAATCTAACTTCAATGTAAGGACAAATTGAAGTTTTGAAAGATTGTAATAAAAGCTGCATGAGTGTAAGCGTGTCTAACATTTTTACTGGGACAAAACCTTAAAGGACATCTGTCATGATAAGGAATATTGAAATATTGACTATATATATCTATCAAATGAATGTATGATTAGACTTTGGCAGGATGGGAGTTGATCCTTTGTTCTTATAAATTCATTTCACATCCAAGGGTTTTATTTGTTTCTACTTCACACATTACTGGAATTTGTTTGTTAAACATGTTGGTTAAAGGTGCTAGGGCAGGAAAACAATTTGTTTAAATACAACTTGTTCTGTTCTTTGGAGAGCACAGAGGTGTAGTAATATAGCAAAATATGTATAAAGGAGAATTTCCATAACTAATTATTGAGAGCAGAGCACTGCATAAGGGACATGCCCAATTTCTGTCCCCCATACTTTTTATTTATTATACAATCCAGTGGATTTCACTGCAAGAAAATTCTAAAGATTATATCATGTTTGTCTCACAGCTCCAGCACAGAACAAACAGGGAATTTTTTTCTGCCAAATTCTCCTACAAGAACAAGTGTTTCTTCAGTAGTTAAGTTTTCTAAAAGCACAGGGATTTCTTTAAAAATCTACTGTTAGGTAGAAGTAAGAGCTGGAGTTCCAGATTCCTGGCCTTTGGTGGACCCTCTAGACTTGTCTGCAGAGGTCTTTCCACAGAGAATTCCTTTTATGGGCTCTATTTTCTGAATTCCTGTACTGTAGTAGTTGCATTCAGAAAATGACTAATGGTTTAATTATGCAAAAAGAAATGTTTTTCATAACTCCTCCCACTGTGTAGTCTCTCTCTCATAGAAAATATTGCATAAGAAGGAGCTGATAAATACTGTGACTTAGTCTTCGAGATTATATGTATCATTTAATTTAAATTAATTAGGCATGAATATTCAATTAACTCTGAAATAACCCTGTCCAATAGCTTAAATTCTTTCTTTCTAAGAGAGACATTTAAAACATTATGTTAGCCAGTGAATGGATTTATTGGGAGCTCACAGCTATCTCTGTGGTAGGGCGCAATTATTTATTTAAACAATATATGAATGATCAGAAATAACAAGAACAGAAAAAAGGTGCTGGTTTTAATTTGTGATGATAACATAGAATTATATTAAACCCTACTTTATATTTTTTTACATGCAGGCTATGCAGTTTATACTGAAAATATCAGGTCTATGGATGATAGAGTGATCAGTGTAATTCATTTGCTTTTTCAAAACAGATTTTTCTTCTTTGTTTTTAACAGAAAAATTCAATATATTTTATGTAACATTTGGGGATTTAACCACTTCTTCAAGTGTTCAGCAGTTGTAGCTCTTGTACCCTTATAATTCAGTGTTGTGTTACATCTCTCTCTTTCATTGAAAAAGCTTTCAAAGCCATTATAAGACATCTTCACATCAATGATAATTCATTTTTGTAATTTTGAAAATTAGATTACTACGTAATGGACGGCTGCTAATATGTACCTTGGAAGGTTTCACTTTATTCATGATTTTTGATGTCTTGTTTTCTCACTCTTTGGATTCAGCTCCTCTTTCACTCAGGTATTTTGGTGTCCCTAAGCCTTTCTGGGCCACAGCTGGAGAAGGTGGTGATTGACAGGACCCTGGTGGGGAAGCTCATCTCCGACACCATCAGTGATGGTAATTACACCCATGTGCAAATCAATTGCCTGCATTAACAATAGAGTAGAGAAACAGTATGTCAACAGGTAGACTAATTATTGCCACTGGGGACTTGCAAACACAACAAGTAATTGCATGTAATGCTATAGTTACAACCCTCAGGACTAAGAGCACTTTAAGAATAATATTTAACATCAAAGTTTTCAGGCTTGTCAAATGCTGCATGGGTTTCTAAAACCCCATTTCTTACACACTGTAATCACTGTGAACATGCCATTTGAACGTGTCATGTTTATTTCGTAAGCGGGAGAATGGGACAGAACCAAACATTAGCCAATTGAATAATTGCATGGGATAGTTATTATTAAAGTTGTTATTAAAAAAGGCTGGATAACATTAGTTATGTGGAGGTGTTCTGATTTAGTTTCTTGATACCCAGAATCTCCCTGTTGTTATTAACTAGTGACTGCTAAAATTAAGTTTTCATTTAATGCAGAAGGAAACTTACAAAAGTGTCTCTGTTTTCCACAGCTTTATGATATGACTCATAACATTGAGAAATCTACTGGTATCTTGGCTTCTGCAGAAGCAAGAGTATGAAATTTTGGTGTAAGCCATGTTACATGTGCACTACCTTCCAAATTTTTTAAGAGTAAACCCACATTACATCCTTCTAGTAAGAATATGCACTTAGTTCAGGTTTGATCTTTAATGATTTAATTTTGTCTCTACCCAGGCATCTATTGAATGTTGGCCTAGGTTTTAAGAAACTCCAATACTGTGTCTCACTGATCTTGTCTTATCAATGTATAGTAGTTTAGTCTTGAAAATTAATATTGATATAACTATGTTTGTAGAATCTTTACTTATTAAAAAAATTTAACCCAGACCTCATTTTTTATGAACTAATTACACAGAGAGAATAGAACATATTTATTATCTTGTCTTCCTTTTTTCACTCTCCACCTTAATTACTGGACTTCTAATTCCATCTGTGATTTTTTGCACTCTGCTTCTGGGGGGAGGATTTCCTACTTTCAGATGACAAAAAGTAGGAAAGCATAGAATCTAAGGTTATTCCTAAATTAAAGTAGTTTGTGGAAATTATTTTGAATACTTCATCTTTAAAAAAACAATAAAAAATAACATATGTTGGTCATGCCTTACTTTGGCTTAATATGTCATAGAAATATTTGTTCAGAAAATACTGCTAACTAAATGAGCTTACAACTAAAACAACAATAAAGCAAGAAATATGTTTTGCTCCTTTTGGACAACTGTATTTATTATATAAATAACACTATATAGTGTTTTGTCCCTGTTTTCACATATGCAGGATGTCCTTAAACCTCCATGTTTGCTAACAGACAAGTCTGTAGGTGAAATAAAACTGCCTCTGTTCAGTAAAAGCAAGCCACTCAATAACTTTCATTGCAATACAGTTTTTATTTTCAGGAACAATAAAAGAAGATGCTTTTGTTACCCACACAAATAGCACTCAAAATACAAATTTTTACACTGAACCATCATTGCAGAGAAACATGAGATAATGTTGTCCTAGAGGAAATTAATTTTAATTCAAAGAAACAGCACATCTTTCCAAATCTGGCTTCAAGTTAGGGTTGTGATTATAAAGCTGGCCAAGCTATATTTAGCACAAGAAGCTTGTATAAAAACAATAGTTCTTACTTCAGCAATTGTGTATATGTAGAAATGGATAAGGGTTACAACCTGCCAGAATTATTTATGAAATTTTGTAATTCTCATTTGGAGTAGCATGTCTTCTTAACATTTGGAATAAAGGTCAGATTGTGTGCACAAAATACAGAATTACTACTGTTTTTATAATCCTCCTGCATCTAAGAAAGTGCTCCTGATTCTTATTATTTATAGGCAAAATTTCATCAGCATCTGAAGTGTGCTGCAGCTCATCTTTAATGCAAACTGTGTATGTGAGGACATCAAAATATTTTAACGGTGTGCATGCGTATTGAGGATACCATATTCAGTGGTTTTCAATTTTCATGTATTTGCAGGATCTCAGTTATACCTTCTGAATCACCTTATCAGATGCTTTATCACCTTTTTTTTTTCTTTTTCCAAAAAAGCTAATGTTAATGTTACATTTCAAAGGCAATTATTTGGCTCTAAACTCTACCCTTTAGCATTTGCATACCAGATACTTCAGAGTTGTGCCAGGACATGACTGTTAGAAAATGCAAGTGGTTATAAATCAGACTAAAGAAAAGCAAAGCTCAGTAGCTAGTTTTTCATGCTTATATGTAAGACTATACTGTCAATCTACTTAAGGATATGTAAAATTTGGATTTAAGAATCTGGGATATAAGTAATAAATTTTATTTTTTTTAATTTCTTTTTCAGAGGTTGTTCCACAGAGGGTTGTGTGTTTGTTTCTAAATCTGGTTCCACTTTAATTGGCATTTTCCTTTTAGGAGAGGTTTCTGAGTTTACAGTCTGAGCACAGCTTCATTTTAAACCGTCAGTGATCTGGTACTACTTACCCCAATTACTCATTTCACACTCAGACCTCTCTTCAGCTGTGGGTGCTGCTTGAACAACGGGGTAACTCTTGGGAAAAATTCTCAATACAATTTTCTAAGTAATTTTCATTGACAGAGTAATCACTTTTATATTGAACTAATTTGGTCTAGCACCCCCTTATGGTAACAGTGGGGATTCCACTGAGCTTTTCCAGACTCCAAGGGAGTCTCTTCCATCTTGATTACTTGTATTGTTTGGGTACCCCCATGTGAAGTTTTCAGTGAATTCATAACTCCTCTAAAGCCTTGTCCTACATGTTACAGCCTCCTTGGTGTCTGCAGCAGCACGAGGAACCTTGCAATGTCAAAATACCAGATACACCCCAAGTACTCATTTGCATTCATCACCCTTAACACAAGCTAAGCTATATGAGGTCCATTTGCAAAATACTGGTGGATGCAACCATAAGAAAAAAAAATACTGAAGGCTGAATACTGAGATGAAAATTAATGTGGAAGGGCATAAAATGTATATTTGAATGTAGTGGCATTTTGGTATGAGATAATTTATTCAGGTGTATGTAATCAGAGTATTCCATAGGCTTTATTTCTCATATCCAAGAAGGTGCTGATAGGATGACACACTGATATGTTTTAGGACATTACAGGGCTTTCAGTGTGATATTTAAGGCACTGTCTTGGAAAAAAATTGCTTTTTGCAGCATCTCAGTGGAGGGTTCACTACTTTGTTTTGTTCCTAGAGACAGGTATTACAGTGCTGACAATTTTTATTTGGTTTTTTTTCAGCTGTTCTTACAGACAATTTCATCATCTTGTCATTTGAGGACCATAACCAACTCTGCTTTATTCAGTTTACAAAGATGATGGATTCTCCTGATGTAAACAAAAGACTGGAAAAACTCTCTTCTTTGGACTTTAAGGTATAGCTGCCAATGGTGACTGCAAATATTGCGGGAATTATACATCATGTATCACTGGTATTCACTGATATTGTGTAGCCACATAAATTGCAAACCTTAATATAATTGACCAGAGCAGCTCAAACGCTAAAAATGGCAGTTAGTGAAAAGGCAAAAAAATTAGAATGGCATTCTGAGTTAAAGAGTTAAAATACTGTGCCAAGAGATCCAGATTTTTACTGTGTTTGTTTTCAGGCTCAGACACACATTTGAGTTACCCCTGCTTGACGGATTACCTTGTGTCCATTGAGCAGCAGTAAGTGACCCTTGGCACATTCTTGGCATCTAACAAGCATGAAGCAAAGTCTGTAATGGTAAACCTCAGTGTAAAAGATTTAAGTTAATGTGTTTTACCTCTTGTGTGTTGTGGGCTGACAACACACATGGTCACTTACTGTGTCTCAGCTGATAGACACAAACACATGAAGCTCTGATAATTCAGTCATCTGTCTGAGGTCCAAGACTTTTGTCATTCTTTGCAGAAATCCTTATTTCCCCACTAGTTACATTAATGGTGTTGGTTGCTTTTAGCATTAAGCCACTGAGTAAGGAATCAAAATATAGAAGCTGAGTTTCTCACCACTGGCCAGCTATGTGTGTGACGTTATGCAAGTGACTTGGTGCCTCAGTTTAAATAGTCCTTTTTTGCAGCCCTTTTTGTGGGGGTGTGTCTTCACTACAGTGAGAGCAGCAGTGGAAAGGTAGCCTAGACAGAGCTGAGCTGAGCTTTAAACTGCCCAGTCTGGAGATCAGTGGAAACCAGCTCATCTCACGATGGGTTGGGCTGGGTAGACGTAATTTATTTCAACCATAAGTACTTTGGCATCAGGACACCAGTTCCTTAGGTGGAAGTGCTTGGTGCTACAGCATTATGAAAAAATAATCAGCCAAGGCAATTAACTTTGAACAGCTGAAGTCGGGAAGGGGCTGCATCCAGTTCACTGCAAGAATGAAGAAGGGTCAAGCCTTTTCCCAAGAAATGCAGAGAGATGTTGTGAGCAAAAGAGAGAGTTTGTATTTATTTCAGACTGGATAAACATTAAAGAAAACAATCTTGTGCTAGCAAATATTTTCCCCTTGACAACCCCTCAGTAATTTACTTCCTCACATAAGGGAGCTTGCATCTGCAAGGCAAGCTCTTTAAGGATATGTTTAATTTAAGTTTTGCCATAATGTGTTTTAACTTGCTTGGTAGAAATACTTTCTGCTAGGATTAATATCTAATACATTTTCCAGGCTGTTTCAGTTCAGGGCTTCTTTTCAGCAATGGCTTGTGTTTGCAAGATTGATCCAACCTCTATAACGTGGATTTGAGACAGTTCACTGTTCACTGGGAACTGAGCTGATACATACTTTACTTTAAAATGCTGTGCCTTGTGCCTGGCCTGTGGTGTTCATTGAGGCTGTGCTTTGGGAGCGAGCCTGGTGTGTGGTGGGGCTTTTTTCTTAATAGCACTAAAGTTTAACGAAGAAGCTGTGGTGAACTGCCTTTGTCACTGAAGTGTGAGGGCCACAGCTCCTGATTTAATGTTTAGAAAAACCAGAAGTGTCTGCCGCACTCCTTAATAGGGTTGTTAAGTTCAGTTCTTTGCTGACGCAGCTGAGCTTCTCAAAACACCTCCATGCTCAACATTAACTTTGCTTTCTCTTGAAATCAGTGGGAATCACTATGGAACGTTTCTCCACCAGCCAAAAAAAGGCATTTGCATTTTTTAATTGAATGTTCCTTTGTGTGAGGCTTGCTAGTTAGGCAGCTAAATATAATTTTTATTATCTTCAGAATTGCACCAGTGTGAGACTGCAGAAAATATTATTCACTTCTGCAATAATATTGTGTCAGCTCTCTGCATTGATTTACTGTTCTTCATGGCTGATTTTGGTCAAACCTCAAAAGCTGGAAGATCACAGACATAGCAGTAGTGTCACTCGCAGTAGAAAAATAAGATGATCCTCAATTGCAGCTCTGCAAACTTGTAATTGTATGTAACAATATGTAACAATAACAAATGTTGTGGGTTTAGGGGAAAAAAAAGGTTCTTTGGAGTTGGGGTTTTGTTCAAGAGAAATTGAATGAATAAGGTAGCGTGCACTGTTATAGAACTAACACAGGATTAAAATCTGGAGCCAAGATTCAGGAAATTTGATTGTAACCTTCATTTCTGCCTCTGACTTTTGGCATAGTCTTGAGAAATGTAGTATTTGGTTTACAGTCCCATTTCTACAATGAGGAAAGTGTTTGTAATGATATAATTAAATTTCTGTCATATTATCATTGTAATGATAAGCAACCTCACATTGTTGAGTTTCCAGGCTCATGGTGGGCAAAATTGGCAGCAGTACTGGACTGCCAGAGTTCTGTGAATAATAAGATCAAGTCAACCATGCTTTCCTCCTCACAGTTTGATATTTATCCAAAAGTCGAGTTTTTTATGCAATGCATACCTAAATGAATGAATTAATCTCCCTATGCTCTTACTTTCTAATTGATACCACCTTGAATTGTATTTGCACTTTGAAACAATAAAGACTTACTATATGAATCACTACAGTCTTCATGACCAGCAAAACAGAAAACCAACTATTATTATTTACCTTTTCTCAGTGACATGAGTTCATGTTTGAGAGTGACATGTCTAATGCAAGACATAAAGGTCAACAAAGATTTGTGGCTGTTATGACATGTGTGATTGTTAAGAACAGTTAACAGTACAATACAGGACTAATTGATACTTGTGTTGTCACCAAATTAGCTATTCTAATTCAAGTAGCAGCTACCTCTTAACTATTGTGTATATTTTATCTTTACCCATGAAAATATTTTGACCAGTAAAACACAGGATATTCTAAAAATATTGACCTTTTTCAAGTTTTTCCTGTCTGGCTTTTTTAATCCATTTCAATTTACTGAAGGAGACAGAACAAGGAGTTAAATGTTTACCATGAGAGAACAACATTGGTAATTACTTTGATTTCAGTTCCTTTTTATGTGTATTCATGGGATGAAGAGGTCAATAATATTATGACCATGCAAATAGAAAAGGGTTCTTTTTGACCATATAAAAAACAGCAAAGGATTATTAAAGCATTAACCTTGATTTTAATGGCCTTGGTTGAGAGCTGAGATCACAATTTGGATGAGCCTGATTATTTACTAAATACAATACATAAATGCAACGGGTTCTTAACACCCATTGCACTCTGGCATTATCGCATTACTGCCAGCCTTTGTTGCCTTGCAGACAGGAATATGAAAGCAATCTGTCATGTAGTGAGACTGGCTCCAGAAGCATTTCTCTGATAAGAAGACCCCCTGCCCTTTGCTAGTGTCTGGTCCAGTAGGCTTAGCCATGCGCTTAATCCCCAGAAAGTGGTTCGATTATTGCTGACCAGCAATGGCAAGATAGTTTTTTTTTCCCCTAGCTATCAACCTTCCATTAATTCCTTAAGCAGAAATGCGGTGCAATCTATATTTCCTTGGCATGTGTCACCCAGATGGTGCACTGCTCATGTTTTCAAATAACCATGCTCCAAATAACAGAGTTTGAATAATAAATTCCACAAATCCTTCCTGAGAAAGAGGCACAATTCTCAAGAGCTGCATAAACTTTACGCATGATGCTGTAGCTCATCCACATTATGCAGAAAAGTATATGTTCTTTTGCAAAGCGGATGTTTGTGTTTCCATCCCTTAATTTGGGGAGGAAGAAGAAAGATATATGTTTGCTCAAATACTGTAGAATATATTTAATATTTGATTATGTCTTAAACACTAGCCTTAGCTCCGTGGTCAGCTTTGCAGAACTTGTCATTTAATATGGCTAAGCTTAAATCCTGTGTGGAGGTCGATGCTGTCAAGCAACCATGACTGTACATTTTGGTATTGATTGGAGTCATTGCAGTAAATTCCTTCTTAACTCATATTCCTTTCCATCCCAATCCCCTCCCCACAGATAAAAGAGTGAGCATGTCTTTCTGTCTGAGGAGATATTTTTCACGTTTACAGACAGCCTCTATGAAGATATATGTACGCAGAGCTCTGTGTATATATACATTCTTTCTCATACATCCAAAGTAATTCCTCCCATTTGCTCCTACCATGCTATTTTATCACCTCCAATATTTCCTGCATTTTTTTCTTCCCTCAGATTTCTTATGTTGATATACTTGGACCAGAAGGTAGAAGGATGAAACGTCACCTGGCAATAAACTGTATGCAAGATCTGGTCATTTGCTGGTGGTCAGCAACCAGTGATGGAGCATGGCCTTGGTCTCCTATTTCCTGTCAGAGGGACAGAGCCAACCTATTGCTATTAGGCTGTGCACATGGCAAATTGGAGGTAAAGTGATGAACTGTCTTGTTACATTATTTTTTTGAATTTGCTGAAGAAAGAGCTATTCCTCTTAAATGCATATTCGAGTAGATATAAAGAACAGATATGATTAAAACAGAAGACAGGAAAATCAGCCATTCTAATAGTAAAAACAAAGGTTTGTTATTTAACAGAAAAGCACCTTATTTACTTTGTTTACTATTTTCACATCAAACCTGAGAAATGTAGCCAGGAAATTAGGTCTTTATCATGAAACAGCTTTGTGCTGCTAAAACTGAAAACAGAAGTGTCAGAGTTCCACTAGAAAACTCCAAAATGAATTAGCAATTGTAACTGTTGCATGTATGTCTGTTGCAATTATTTTACATTGTCTGCAATGTTAACTGATAGACAATTTGCATCTCTTTCAAGTGTTTTTCATAAAATATTAACTATGCCCAGATGGTGGTTAAATTTTTGTTATGAGTATTGGTCAAATGAGGGACTGATATTTTTCTCAAAGGGAAAGTTAAAACACACCATCTACAGGTGGGAATGTAAGCTGTGAGTTAAGACAAAGCTACAAGTTGACCCCCCCTCCTGACACCTGCTTAGCTTACATTTATAGGCAGATGTTTTCATTTCAATTATTTAATTTTTGTTTCATCTGTTTAAGAATATTTGAATCCAATTTGTTTGGTTAGGTAGAAATATTAAAATGAAGCTATCTGAGCATACTCTGAAAGATCTGGAGTCTGAATTTAAAATATAAAAGCTTTTCTGGACAAACATCTTGTATAGATGCTTCTCTATTTGGAATTTTGTTTTCAGTTTATCTCTACCCACTTCTAATATGGACTAAAAAGGCACTGACTGTGGGAGAAGAGCACAAACTCAAGGATCAGCTGTGGAATAGTTGTTCTGGATTAGCTATTACAGACTATTTCCCTGTAGGGAAAACCCCTAAGTAACATTTAAGAATAAGCTACTTTTACAAATAGCATCCTCCTCTCTTTAATTAGGGAAGATGTAAATGTTTTAATGTCTTGAAACTATTACTTTGATAACTAATATTAATTTAAGTGAGATTCTTTTCCCTTGGGATTTTCTACCTATTGAAAGTGAAGAGAAAAGGTAGCTGAGACAGCTTTCCTTTTCTTATTTCTGTCATTAGTCACTGTAGAATTGAAGTTTAAATTACCTCCAGCTCTGCCTTCTTTACTTCTTTTCAATTGACCTCTCTCCACTTACGGTCATCTTTGACTCATCTCTCTCCTCTGCCTGATCTACACCTGCAGTTCTCCATTCCCCCTGCAGCTATGCCAAATCACATAGAAAAAATTACTCTGGGAGCTAAAATGTGAGGCTGTTCTTTGTAAGCTTTTCCAGCTCTGTGCCAGTTATTATGAAACTTCATCCTACTAACATTTCAGACCTTATTTTTTACCATGGTTTTGGAGAGCAACATTCCCGTGCCTATTTTATTCTTTCCCATGTCTTCCAGAAATCTCCCTATTGCCACCATAGCAGTTTGCAGTCTGTTTCCTGAGACGGTTTTTAGAGACTGTTTTCTTTTAAGAAATTAACAGAAACCACCCTATCAGTTAAAAGCTCTCTTGAGTTTCATTTAATATGTTTTAAGGGAGATTTCCAAGTCACAGCATTCCCCTGCATCTTTCAATACACCTTGTTTTATCCTTTTCTGGTTTAAACTCTGGTATAGTCTCAAGCACTTCACTGGTGTTTTACACAATAGTGATAATAAACATTCTCTGAGGCTTTAGGCTTAAGGTCATAATAATTTTAATTTGGCCCATATTGTAACAGAAATATAAGAAACTTATTTTTAAAAGCAGCACTGCCAAATTTGACTGTTCAGTTGCTTTCCATTTTCTGATTCTTTCCCTGTACTTTTCTGTTTTAATTCTTAGATCTTCAGATGAAATTTCTCTTCCTGTATTCATCAATAAAATACCAAGCACTATGACAGGGCAATAGAAAGCTAAGTCATATATGAGTAACAAACTGTCTTGCTGTTTGTCAGTTAGGCTGTTCCATGTATTCAGCTCTTGGATGCTCTGGAAGCTCAGGTCACTCTGCCTGTACACTTAGCCTATGTGTCCATGATGAGTCACCCGTGGTGCTGTTTGCTGAGGTCTTTTGTTTGATTTCTATAGAGTTGCTTATGGGCAGGGATTAAATTCCTGTGCATGGATGGGAGAATATCATAACCCAGAAGTTCTAGAATTAGCATCAGCCCCCAGTCTACATTTAACTGAGGTGCATTTTTCCCCTACAGTCTTGAAGAGAAACTTAACATCTTTAACTTCTGAAGGACATTTGATAGCTTATATGTGAAAAAAGCATACTTACCATTTCTAGACAGCTTGTAAACAGTTACTCTCTAGGTCAGATACCACAAAAAGGCAGTGGTTCTGTAATCATGCTTACTTGCCTTTCTTTTCCTCTAATCCCTTGCCATTTGTAGTATTCCTCAGGTATAGATTTGAAAAAAGAACTGGACATGCCATTGTTATTCATGAAAGTAAATCCATATTTATCATATTTGACCAGTAATATTAATTTACTCCCAGTGAAAGACTATTATCAATATAAGAATTAGAAGTGTGAACTTACTCAGTTTAGAGCATTTATCAAAATCAAGTGTAGTAAAGTAATACCACCAACATTTTCCTTGAAAATAGTAGCATCAACTGGATAAAATAGCATTATTATCTAGAATCAGGAGAAAAACAGAAATTGCCGAACAACGTGACCATAAAGAGCTGTTTGGCATGTTTGGTTTATGAAACCAAGCCCAAGGAAATGAGTGGGTGCTCACCGCAGCCATCACCTCAGTGCTGACTTACAGAAACCACAAAACAACCTGCCAGCTGCTGCCACTCCTGCTGCTGGGGCAGAGCAAAGGCAAATGGGCACTTATATGGTACTGCTTCCTGCCTGAAAGAATTTCCTGAGTGATCCTGGCTGCCCACCAGAAGAGTGCTTATTAGGATGAGGACAGGAATAGCTCTGGGATGAGACAGCTCAAGCCCTCATCATGATCATCACCTGTAACTGCACGTTCTGTGTTGGGATGATTCACACTGCACGAGGAGTGTTTGGGGCATAGTGTACTTCAGCAGCTTCTCAATCCAAGGAAGGAAATACATTTCACTTTTTAAACATACTGGAAATTTGATTTGAATTTTGCCACGTGGCTTTTTATTTTTAGCATTTACTACTATTAAGGCTACAGGTAACCACTCTACAAACAGAAATAACTTTTTCCTCACAAATCTTGACTTATTTTACTGATTTTTTTTAATGAGATCAGTGTTTACTGTGCTGAATGCTGTAAGATTTGGTGAAGAATTGTCCCTTGAAGAAATGAAGGTGCTTTTCTCTGTAGCATGTGACCTTGCTTCAGTGTGCAATGCATGTTGCTGCAGGAGGGTTTGTCTGTTGGACCTTTGTCTGCTTTCCTGTATGCATGGGTTTCCTCCAGTAAACTCACCCATTCTCTAATTTATTTATTTAATTATTGGATGTTCGTTTGGTTTATTTTGTTTGGGGTTTGTTGGGTTTTTTTAACCTTAAAGTACCAACGATCAAAGAATGTTATTTAAATTGTGTCTCTGTGAGGATAATGCTGGTGTTTTGATTTCAAAACCAGAAGAGGAACCTTCCAGAAATTATTTCAGACAATTTGCTATGAATGAATAGGATCTGATGTGAAGTCATCTTTGGATTAAATGCTTTGGGAGAAAGTTGTGTTAAAATCAACATGAACTTTATTCTGCAAACACAAATTAACAGGGGATGCTGATGCCAGGGCACAGTTACTGTAGCACTTTGCATTTGTCTTCACCATTCTTATTTTCACTCCGTTTAGTGCTAGTGGGAATGACTGAAATTATACTTCAATCTTGTGGAAAAAATAATTTCCCTGAGAGAGAATATTATTTTTCTTTCTCCCAAGAGATAATATTTAATAGTTATTGCTTTCATATTGTGCCTCGGATTTGTGAAATAAGCACAGCAGATCTTTTCTGTGTGAGCTGTCCTACAGTTACTGGAGTGCTCAGAAAAACATCTACCCTGTGTGTCTGAATGGCTGAAATACCTCTCACACACATACAGCAAAGAATGTGAAATCCTCAGTGTCACATTGGGTTAGAAGTTCAATGAATAATACAGGATGAAGATGATGATGATAAATTTTGAAAGAAAATAAGAATAAGTGTTGACTGGAGATCTAAATAATAAGATTGCATGTAGGTCTGTAGATACAATGAAGCCAAATAAGTAACCTAGAGTAGGAGCTTTTCATTTTTATTCAGAAATGTTTTAAAATAAGGTGGTTTTTTTCCCTTTCAACTTCACTAGGCCATATTTAAAACAATTTTACTCTGGTGTGCACCACACTTCCCACTTTACATTTCTAATTAAAATGTTTGTTGCTATTTGGAACCTCACTGTGTGAAATTAAATAAGCACTTTTTTAACATCCGTAAAATAAATCAAACATTCTTTTCTCATCTGAAAGACACACAGTTCAGTCACAGCAAGCTTGTTTCTCTGTTTCTTTTATTTTCTTTTTTTCATCTGCCTGGTAAGCCAATTTTCTGCTTAAGAGCTACTGGTTAAACTCTTACTTGTTTTGCTATGTGGACTTTATCCTTTCCCAGCACTCTATGCAAAATACTTCAATTTTAAGTGTTCAAAAAATTTCACTGAGAAGAGTGATACTGCCCACACAAGCTAGCACTATTATTTCTCTCAAACATAAAATGAAAGAGAGTGTTTTAAATAGCATAGCAGGCCTCTTATTTACAAAGATTAACAGATTCCTTTACTTGGATTGTTATGATTCCTGGCTCTAGGATTTGGGAACCTGGCACGTATAGCATCCCTTATCCTGCTGATGAACTGAAGCAGAGTCCAAGGCAGTACTGTAAGGGGAAAACAATATAAATGTGCAGTAGTGGTGCATGACTGCTACATTAATAAAGAAAATATGTATAAATTACATGGACAATATTTAAATGCCTGTACTGTATTTTTGTAGCATTCGTGTCATAAAACTTTTAAATTTTTTAATTAAGGTATTTATTTTAAAGAAATTAATTGGTTTTACTTCATACAAAATAATTCCAGAAGTCTTTTCTTGAAATCCAAGGCTAAGTGCTTAGGCCAAGATTTTTGGGAATCATTGACCATTGAATGGACTGTACACCCTGCCTTGTGATATTACAGCTCTGTCTTTTCAGACCCACTGCCCTGTCCCCTCCCCCACAAATCTGACAGTTGTTCTACCCACTGCTGAGGAAACTCCTCCTGCTTTTGCTTTCCCATTCCAAAAGAAATGTTTTGTTAAATGATTTAATGTCACCTTTTAGGGTTCCAGAGAACTGCTTCTCATCAGGAAGGAATCTCAGTGGATTCCTTTAAATGGAAAGCTAAAGCACTATATGCACTACATTTACTACCATGTGTCTACTTACCAGATAGGAAAACAATTGACAGAGTACCATCTTCTTGGGAAAAAAAAAAAAAAAGTTTTGATTATTAGCCTTAACTTTCAAAAGCATTATTAATGTTTCTGTAGTTGTGTGTCTCTCTGCTTTAATTCTTCAGTTAGTGGCATGAGAATGAATAATAAAACTAATTTCTGACAGAGAAACCCAAATCTTCCCTCTCAGATGGAAGAGAATATTCATTTTTCCCCTTCAGAGTGCTGAATACCAGATACATTCAGCAGCACTGGAAGGCAGAACAAAGGGGTCTCTCGGCTTGCTTCTCTTCCTGCAAGAGGCACATGAGGCCACTGATGCATGAGAAGCAGCTTATCTGTTCCAATTTGGGGAGAAATGTTTCTCTTGTTTCCAGCCAGAATTTGAACAGCAATGTCTAGAAAGGTTTCCTTTAAGCCTTATGTGTTTAAACATTATGCCAAACCTTATGTTTTGAAACTCTCAACAGAGAGTTTCTCTCCTTGCAGGAACTTTTTCCTGGTTAAGAATTGTGTTATATACAGCAACCAGACCTATCCTAGACTTCATTTCAAGGATTTGCTCTCAAAACTATGTGAAGCTAGGAAGCTTCTCATCTCAAGACTCATTACATTAATCTTCCAATATGGAAGATTTTACTTCCTTTGAAGTAAAATTCTAGGTAGTGATCATCATTTTGTCCCACTTTTGCTCTAAGAAGGTAGGACAAAATGATGAATTGGTTGCAGTCTACTTGCTGACTCTCAAAGAATCATATGGCAACATTTATTTTTCTGTGACTATTTCCATTGCTGGTTTCCTCCAGTCACTCCCATGGAGTTGTAAAATCCATGTTTCACATATTTTCTTGTCTATTGCCTTAACCTTCAAGGCCAGTCTCTCTTTAGAATTGAATTTAATTTGATGAGAGCTTTCAGGCTCTCATCTCTCATAGGCCTGATTATTTTGTGGATCTTCATGACTTTCTTGGAGCTTTTGAAGAGTTGTCCAGAAAAAAATACTGGTTTGGGGTCAAAATATGTAGCAGAATAATGCAGTACATTGAAACTTCCCAGAGGAAGACAGAAAAGTGAGTCCAAGAAAGCCTCAAGGCTCATTTCACTGAAGTTATGGAAGCTTTGAAGACTTGCTTGGGCAAGATTTCTGTTTCACACATTTGAAAGGAGCTGCCTGGTCTCTATACATACTCCCAGGGAAAACTGCAGAACAAACAGTAACACTTCACTTTGTCTTTATTTGGGGTTAGAGGACTCTGTGGTCACAGTAATCCTGTGTCCACAATAACCTCTTTTGGGAGTTTCCTTGCCATGCAATTTAACACCTAATAAACACACTTCAGCAGTTCTAACATCTACACAGTAACCATTGCAAGGTTTTGTGGGCATAAAATGACTTGTTGCAGAGGCTAAGCCATTGGTGAGGGAATGGTTGAGGTGAGAAAGTGTTTTTCAGACTAGAAAAGTAATGTAATCTTTTATTTCCTCTTTGACACATATTTTCATGGATCTCTGTTGAGATTGGTTGATGTGGTTTTCACAGGTTAAATGCATTGGCTTCTGCATCAGGTGCTTTTGCATTAAGTCGTTCTTTGCATGTCCCTAGCTACTCATCTAAAAGTAGCAAAGATTTTTGTACTAACTGTCATTTGGTTTCTAGCCAGAGCATTGCCATAATCCCTTTTTTCTTTCTTTTGATTGAGAAACCCTTTTGCGGACAAAATAAGTAAACTGTCAGAACAAAAGATCCTAATCAGTCTTATCAACGTCCCAAAAAGCTTGTTTATAAATTTATCAGTTACTTTAGAAGTAATGGGTAGTATGCCAAAAAAAAAAAATCTGAATTTCTTATTCTCCTTTAGGATGAAAGGCTAAATTGCGTATTCAGTTGGTCTTGTGATCTGTGGAAATCAAATTTAAATTGCTCTAACATTATGTGTGCCTTTCTGTTTTCACCCTGAAATGTCTAGATTTCCTTCCTCATCCTCTCTCTACCTTTTAATCACATTTTTTATTCCTTTCTGTGCTTTCATACCATGTGGATTCAAGGGGCTTCCAAAAGTTGTGGCAGGTCAGCAGCTTTAATTTACAATGTGAAGATTACTGTGGGTATACATGAGAGAAGGGTTCGGCTCAGGTTCACATTTTCCTTTCACTCTTTATTTCTGCATGAACAAACACCAGCAAGTTTCTCACTGGCTTCCACTACTCTCACTCTTGTAGAACCACAGGTTTTCTGTCTATTTTTTATGAAATAGCTTTTCATAAGCTCATCTGTAACTCATTTACAGCTGTTGTTTCTCTCACGGTTTCCCTGCTCAAATCCTGTACAGCACCTCTCGTTCAAACCTGTTTATCATTAGTACATGAACCTTCGCTGGTCTCCTCTGCTGCTTCCACCTCTTAAGGGTACTTCCCATGTTTCCACACTGCGGATTCTTGCTCTTTGCTAGCTGCTGTCTTTTTATCACATTCTATCTTTGTGTTCTTCCTCCCATTCGTTTAACTTTCAAGTACCCTGTAATGGTCCCTGCTTTTCTGCTATCACAAATTCATTATTTCTGCATCTAAAACTGTATGGCACCCAAGAACATCTACCACCTACTCATCTGGCAATGTATAGTAGGTGCTGTTTTAACATGCCATTGTTTCTACCACTAAAGATTAATATTTTCTGTTACCATGGCCCAAAGCAAATGATCAAAAATCCTCTATGCTTGATGCTAAGAGTAATTTACTATAGATTTTTCCCAGAATTTTGGGATTTTTACCCCAGGCCACTTGTGAATAATTAGTTATTCTTTTACATCAGTCCTTTCTTGTCTTATCACTGACCATTCCCTCTTTTATCTTCAGTTCTGCTAAACTGTTAATAAGACAAACAAATATGGTTCAAACTCTACTGCAGAGGTTTTTTTTAATGAAATGAATTGATCTTTTAAATGTTAAAAGAGTATATTTCAGAGCTCCATTTCAAGAATGCCTACTTGTGACTGCCCACAGGAAAGCGCATTCGCAGCAGTCAATTTTTAAGAGTAAATCGCTACAAATGAGTACCAAAAGGCTTTGGATTTTTGCCAGGTGCTGAGTTACGTCCGCACGGAGTGGGAGCCCCTGGATGCCAGGTTCAGCTCTGTCCAGCCCCAGCAGGTGCTGACTGTGGAGCGCTCGGTGTCCGCAGCCAAGGAGCCCATGGCCGACAGCTGCGTCTACAAGTGTGTCAGGAACCGAATCCAGTGCGCCGCCGTCACCAGGGTCCCCCTGCGAGCCAGAGCCATCAGCTGCTGCAGGGATGTGACAGAAGACAAACTGGTGCTGGGCTGTGAAGACTCCTCAGTAGTTCTGTACGAAGCCTACAGCCAAGTGACTCTGTTGGCCCAGGCAGAGCTGCTCCCTGCTGAAATAACCTACCACCCTTCTGGAGCCCTGCTGGTGGTTGGCAGCTCTCAAGGGGAGCTGCAGCTTTTTGACACGGCACTGTCCCCAATTAAAATTCAGCTCTTGGCACAGGAATATTCACCTGAGGGAACTCTGCAATTCAGTAAACACTGTGATGTGTCCACCAGCCTCATCCAGATCCAGTGGGCTGCTCCTCCAGTTGCATTTCCCAGTCCTGACAGCATGGATATTCATGATCTTTTGTTGGTTAGATTTGATAAAGGACCCTTGGGAGTGCTTCACTTTAAACTTGGTAAGTTACTAAGCACATCTGTTGAACCTTGAGCTGTCAAAGAAATATCTGTATCCCACAAGGTTGGGAACACCCTAATTTTAGGTATATGAGACCATAGCCTTAAAAGCAAATTGCTCCAAAGATATCTGAAGATACCAAGGAGTTCTTTATGTTTCACAATGACTTTATACCTTTTCCTGTTCATAGAACAAGACCCTGACCTGCTGTCTGATCAGCATCCCATAATGTTCTTCACTACTTTAATAAAGCATAACAAATTTTCCTTTGGAAAATTAATTTAATCTGTAGTATATAATCTTAAGAATTGTATTCATTCTGTAGTAATAACCCTAACAAGTTAAAATAAGCTATATTTAATAATAGAAGAGTAATGCTATTTTCTTTACCAAATTTTTTTTTTTTTTTTTTGCATGTGTGATGTATATTGTCCAATATTCTGTTCTTCCTGGCTTCGGTATATGAAGTTGCACCTTTTTTTTTCCTTTGAAGACTTTCCACAGAAGAAGAATGATTTTCATAACCTTCAGAGAAGTTTTTTCTCTCAATTAATTTGCAAGGAGTTGTGAATAAAAGAAGTAATAATGCTAATTTTAAAATTTATATAGCACTTCTCTTTTTAGGTGTGAAGAGACTTTAAAAGAGTAAAACCACAACTAACTTCCTTTTACAAACAGAAAAACAAGAAGCAGTAAAGAAAAGCTAAAGGGCTTTCCAAGAGTTACACAGTGGCTGAACTAAGAATAAAACCCCTGCAGTGGCTCATCAGTGAGAACTGTATTCATTTCATTCAAGTCAGGCAAGTTACAGTGGTGCAAGCCCATTGTGTGAGCTAAAAAAACAATCATGCTTAGACCCTCTGACTCCCAAGCCAGTGTTTCAGCAGGGCAGACAGCCATCCTGGAAAACTTCAGCATTTTGCCCATTGTCTGTCCAAGAAAACAGGATTACTTCTGTAGATTAAAAACTGTATTTTTAATGATTCTTTTGTATAAAGCTATTGAGATTAGGAAGAAGCCTTTTTTATAAAAAAACCAAACCCACACAAATTGCCAAAAGACTCAAAATAACAACCTGGGTTGTTATTTTTAAAATCTATTTAATTTCTTTACTTAATGAGATACACATGTACTTTTGTGGGCAAAAAACTGTCTAAAATTACCAGAGACCTAAAAATTTGAAAGACTGAATTAAAAAATTTTAACCAAGTGTGCCACTGCAAAAAGTTAAATTAATGTAATAGGATGTTAGTAACAAAAAGATGTTGGATTGGCTTATAGTTGTGTAGTTTTAAAAGAGCTGATCCAGATTATTGCTGTTATCCATAAAAACTATTTAAAAACCTGCTTACAGGTTATCATTCATTTTGAGATAATTAGCTGCATTAAGTTCAATGACAGGTTTAATAGTTACAGTGTACCCCAGAACACTAATTATAACAGCTATTTGATGATTTTGTGCATGTTGGCCATTTAAAAGAAAAACCCTCTAAATTATCTCTGTCCTGATTTGGTGGGATGGAGTTGAGCAGGAGGCATTCTACCCACCTCTACCTTGCTTTTCTTGAGTCCTCCCTGGTGAGGTTTTCTCACCAGCTTTCCAGAATGCACAGCTTTCCCCTTGCTATCTTTAGCACATTTATGTTCTTACCAAGGCAAGCAGGCTCTCAGTACAGGGATTTAGAGGCCTTTCCTGCTAATTGCCAGCTTGTAAATTTAATTGGACTGTCTCCCTGGGCACTGTTCCTAAATCAATTAGGCAGTGAGTTGGCTGTCACCTCTTTTTCCCAAGCAGGTTGCCTGGAAGCGCACCACCCAGGAGAAGTCAAGCATCCAAATGGGAAGATGTTGACCTCTACAGCTGAAAGTTATCACATTTTAAAATTCATTCTGTATAATTACTGTAAAATCTCTTCTACGAAGAAGGCAAAGCTCTCTCCCTTCTTCCCTTTCTCCCTCTTTGTAGTCCACCATGCAAAAATATGCTGCTCTCTATTTCATCCTGGTGTTCAGCTTTACACTTCATCTCCGCAGTTTGCCACACTGCCAAGGGAACACTGTGTTGATTAGTAAGTCCCTCTTCACAGTCTCAGTTTTTAGGTTTCTGCTATTTAAGAAATAATGCAGAATTAATTAATTAATTAATTAAATGCAATAATAAATTATAACAAAAAAATTAGGGGCTCATGACAGCAAGACCCAGACAGGCATTCAGGACTGAAATAAAATCCATGAGTAACACATGGCTTGGAATTGTTTCCCACAGAAGTCAGTTAAGAAACTATGTCAGTGAGAATAGGCAAATATGTTTTTAACTTCCAGCTACATTATGGTTTTGGACAAGTTCTGTGAATCTCCATTATGCTGTCTATCCAGATTTATTTCAGGAAAAAGTCATATTAAACATACCCTCAAACACTAATGGCAAATATTTTTGATGTCTAATGCCAAACTCATTTCCAAAAGCGGCTTCTTTTTATTGATGTCAACCCAGATCTTGGATAATGCCAAACATGGTGCTGGTGCCAGTGGTTCAGCATTGCTGGCCTCTAAAGGCATTTTAAATATAGTATTGTATTTAATTAACATGAAAATAAGTATTTTCATCTTCGCTGAGAGGTTAATGTGGAGATTGCCCAGCTGCTGTAATGCTTTAAAAACACTAAACGTTTAGGAAGAATAAAGTCTGCCATAACTATTAGATATTAACAAGTTAAACATGGCTGTTACCCAGCATAATGTCCATAGGCTTTAATATATGCAAATATAAGGTGAAATACAATGGAAAACCTTTCTTTAATGAAGCTAAAAAAATTAAGTACTTCTCTGTTAGTAAATGTGAATATACATATATACATAGGTTTTCCCCAAAAACATCACTTCTGTATATGCAAGTTCTCTGCAGTTTAATTTTCCTCAAGCTGTATTCAGATGTTTTTCTCCCGTTTTTTCCCCTCACTTCTTATTTCACATCACAAACAGTATTCACAACAGTTATGAAAGTTTTGTGAGGTATGTTTTATACATAACAGGTCTGCTCTTCTCTGTTACCAGGCCTTGTTTACCTCAGCCAGTCCTATGGTTTTAATACCAGTATTGAAATTCAGCTTGTTCCCTTTCTCATCAGAAACAACAACATCAGAATATAAATAGAGAAAATGTTAAATTAAAAAAAAAAAAACAACCAACCTAAAAATTATGTTTTTATTTAAAGATAGAGAAACAGTAAATTTATTGTGGTCTCTTTCTAATATTTGGATGAGTGCTGATAAAGAGTACTCCATCAGAGCGATCCAAAGTGAGCAGGAGTTGCTAAAATTCTGTATGTGGCCAATGTCACATGATCATTTGTTTAGTCAGAGACAATAAATAACATTACTTCCTGCAGCTTCTTATCAGCTTTTCTGTTTGGAAGCTGAGATCCACAAGTCAAGAAACATCTGTGTGGCAAGCTTGTTCTTGGTTTCCTGTGCAGTTTTAATTCAAAGGTCTGTAGTATCAAGATGATGATAACTTCCATGGTATCCCCTCAGAAAAAGTGCTCCACTTAGAGAATATTGCCAGGCTGGAAGGATGTTCCAGAGCAGTTGCAATATGGAGAGTAATTGAGTAAGAGGTTGCTTTGAGGTTGGAGCTGCTCTACGCTTTTATGCAAAGATACATCTGTGTGAGACAAATGCTGGGGTTTAGTGTTGTCCAGCACTATTTCCCTACAGGAAGGAGACGCTGTGAAAGTTGATTTATTACCTACCTTGCAATAGTGATAAACTCCAAATAAAGTTATTCCATCTTGTTTAAGCCAAATTTCATTATGTAATGTTGTCACCAGTGACTTTTGGCTACATTCATTCAACATCCATGTGTGAAGTTCATTGATGATTTTTGTCTGCTGACCGGCACCCTCAGGCTAAGTATGCCAAGATAGTAAGGTGCTATCTTTTATTTAAAATTTAATACTGAAACCCATCAGCCTAATTTTAAATTATGGCAATTATTTTTAACTGTGCTGAAAAGGAGTCAGCTACTGGTTTACATACTCTGTATAAAAGTATGAACCCATTATCTCTGGTTGTAATATTTCTTGTTAAAGGTGTACTCACAAGAGGACAACTGGGCCTTGAGGAAATCATCCACCAGTACATTCGTAACGATGAGATACAGGAGGCAATTAATGTCCTGAGCACCATGAACTGGAACACCATGGGTCAGCGGTGCTTTATCTGCCTGAGTGCCATTTGCAACCACCTCCTTAAACAAAAGCTTACACCAGCTAGAGAAGGTAAGAGACTTTATATTTCTAATGGATTTCTGTGGTGTCTTGGTAATTCATGTGTGGATTATGACTGTTTTTATTGACTGTATAAAGAAGACCATAATGAGACTCCACACAGACAGCCAGATTATGGTGCCTCATAATCACATGTCATTGTAGACAAGTAATTTCAATAAAATCTGGACCAATGTACATTGACTACATTTTAGTTTGTATCAATAGTGACACTAAAATAATGCACATTGTAATATATATATATATGCTATAGGCATTACTTAATATACATAGCACTAGCATTATATTTTGTAACTTCATTCCATTCTATAAATTTAGCTTATGTTACAGAAGAAGGTTAGTTAATACAGGATTGAAATATTTGTGTTATATTCAGGTTGAGACAGCACCAGGTTAAGGAGAGATGTTTTCCTGAAGTGGGGACAAGAGATTTTGGTATGTTTTTTAAGGTGCTTTCAAAGGGTCATTCTTTCATTACAAGATGCAAAGGCCTTGAATACACTATCCTCTGCTGCCTCCTTTAGGATTAAAGCATTTGTCCTTACTGTAATCCAGCCCCCTGCAGTAGTAGCTGGGGTCCCTCAGAAGAAATTATGAATTTTAAGTTTAGCCCTGTCTCTGCTAAAGCCTGGTGTGGTGCCTTCCTCCTGATTTGCTGTCTATCTTGAAACTCAGTAGACTTCAAGATTTGAAGTGCCTTGATTTAGTGAAGGTGTTATCCTCCAGTCTAGCAGGCAGACAGCTGGAGACCAGGCATCTTTTGTGGGAAGAGAGAATACTTAGGATTCTGGTGTGTTTGATGATAGAAAAACTCCAAGGTGTCCTACATTGCTGCCAAACCATCAGCATTTTGTGGGATCTGGTTTAAAAAATCTCTGTGTCGCAAACACAACATATAAACTCTAAATAAAACATGCTTTGAAAAGGGCCTGTGAAAAGGGCTGGCTATGATACTCTTCTAAAAATATGTACATTATAAACAGATATCTGTGTGTTTCCCCCATGCAGCTGCCTAACACTGTTCACAGAAGAAGGAATTTTATTCCATCCAGGAGTTATTCTATTTAAATCTAACAAATTTTGCATGGTAATTTGTTTTCTTTTTTATTAACAAAACCCAGTGGGACCTTTTATTTATAGTGATGGGGCAGTTATCTTTGAGATCTTTATCCTGCCTTCAACATCAAGCTGGGCTATTTAATGAATGTATAACTGTGCCAGTAGTCACTCATATTCCATGTCAGTTGAAATATTTCAGAAGTTCAAAACATGCTGTCAAGAAAACAGCAATGGCAAGGGAGTTTGGCTTGTTTTTCTATTTTAATCTAAATTGACTGCTGCTTTGAAAGAAAATACCTTTAAAGTTCGACTTATCTTACGATCTAGATTAGAGATAACACAAAACTAATTTTCTAACAGTTTGTCTGGGTAACTAACACAGTGCTATTAGGACATTTAGTGCTATCAAGCCTAATAAAATCAAATGTAACTATGCTTGGAAGTAAAGAGTAATTGTCACTATATACAGAAATGCCTAATTCAAACAAACATTAATAATGGCAAATCAATGAGATTCTGTCTGCCTAATGAGACAACAGGTTATATTTTGCTTGTAGAGCAACATAAATATACAGCAAATACTTAAATTCTCCCTTTTTTGCCTGTAAGGCCTTGTATTACATTGTTAACTCTGAAGCAGAAGTCAAAGAGTATAAGTATTATTGATCATTTAATTTCCTTTCAGCTAAGCGTGTGGAACACATAAGTACTCTTCTATTGTTTATAATTTTGTATTAAAAATGTGTAGAAAAATGCCTAAGAGCTTGAGCTGTGGAGTACAGCAGTCAGAAAATATTTAAAGAAGAGAGAACTTGTAACAAAAGGACTTTATTTTATTGATTACAAGAGAGGTTATCCTGTTTCCCACCACTACATGCTGTCAAACCCTTAGGGTTTCTAGACCCTTTTATTTAAAATTTTTAAAGAACTGTGGGCCGAAGGAGGTTCCTTAGACCTCAAGGCCTTCACAAAGAGGGTTCTGTTACCTGCTGACCTAACACAATAATCCCTGAAAAACTGAACTCCCTTGTTGTTTGCCTAAGAGGACAAAGACGATTTGAGCTAATTGAGAGTTGATCTCTACTGGACAATCTTGTTCACACTGTATTAGTCTCATGAGTCACTTTTAGTTGTAGGCTGCTGGTGAGAACTTGATGTGTTATAGACTTCTTTATCCTTTTGATAGCTTTTGTTGCTCAAAGTCATTGTCAGCTGTGCCTCCAAGCCAAAGTTTATATGCACAATTCTGTTTGTACAATCTGTCATATTTTAATTTCATCTGTCCTTCAACAACATCACATTTCATCACTGTTTGAGGAATTTGACTGACTGCAAACATGAGCAACCTGTTGTAATTGAAACTAATTCACTTGTTTCATTGCTGCTGTGTTTGAATTCCACAGCACAGCTTGAGGCAAGCCTTGGAACCTTTTATGCTCCAACAAGGCCTCTCTTGGATAGAACTGTGCTGGAGTACAGGGACCCCATCAGCAGATATGCAAGAAGGTTCTTCCACCACCTGCTCAGGTGAGTGACAGTTTCAGCTTCTATCAACTTAAAATTAATTGCATATTTCAATAACTACCTACTTTAATGTGGTTAACGTTTTCTAAGAGGACCACCCCTGAAAAAAATGCATTCATTGTTAATGTTTGTTTAACTTGCACTTTGTTCCTTTCAAATAGAGTAATGCGGATAAAGTGCTATTCAGAGCTCTTCTGTCATCAATACACTTAAAATGAATCACCCTTTCCCATTTAGCTTGATAGAAAAAAGATACCATGCTTCTGAGAGATTAATATTCACCAACTGCTTGCAGATTAGTTATAGAAAGAACTTAGAAGCTTGGAGAAAACACTGAGTTTAGAAAGATTCTAGAATACAAAAGCATGCTGCATGGTCCAAGACATTTTTGTCTTTGCAACACTGAAATATGAACGTTTTGTTAGTCTCACTTTTAAAATTCTCATATGTAAATTCAGGTTCCAGTGATTTTCAATGCCATTAAAATAAGAGGAGAAAATACAGTGTTGAATTTGTCTGTAAATTGTATAGAATCATAAAATGGTTTGGGTTGGAAGGGACCATAAAGATCATCTTTTTATAACCCAGCCACCACGGGCGGGGACACCTTCCACTAGATCAGGTTGTTCCCAGCCCCATCCAACCTGGCTTTGAACATTTCCAGAGACAGGGCATTCACAACTTCTCTGGGCAACCTGTGCCATTCACCACCCTCACAGTAAAGAATTTCTTCCATATATCCAACCTAAATTTCCCCTCTTTCACTTTGTAGTCATTACTCCTTGTCCTTCTACTGCAGTTCCTGACAGAGTTCCCTCTCTGGCTTCCATGTGGGCTCCTTCAGATACTGGCAGGTTGCTATGGGGTCTTCACACAACCTTCCCTTCTCCAGACTGAGCAGCCCCAACTTCCTTGCCTTGTCTTCACAGGGAAGCTGCTCTGATATTAGACGAGAAATAATAACAAATTCAGCAAGAATTTATAGTACATTGCTTTACTGCTGTACTTTTTTCAACCCATTATAAATTTTGATATGAAGCAGTTCAACCTGTTCACAAATACAGCTGTGATATTCCCTTTGGGAATTATCCAGTGGATAAAAATAAGGTGAAATTACCTTCTTAATGATACAATGTTTGTAACATCTTGTTGAGAAGGAGTGTAGATGGACACAGTGCAAAGACTGACAATGCACCCTTTTGCAGTGATTCATCCAGATTGTATTTACACTGTCAGCATGGGCAAAGGAAATTACTTTGATAGCACAGAATGTGCTTTTTTTCAAATCTAGAAGACAAATATTCTGTATCGTCTTCTACATTTTGAGGCTGAAGAGGATCATCTTTCTGGTGAACAGGTCCATTCCAGTGGGGAAATTATTCCTTGTAGAAGAATGATCCAATATTTGCATAATATGCACCAATCCTTCACTGGAGTTTTCTTAACACACATGGCCACAACAGTGGGTACAAACTCTGTTATTGCCTTTCTCCTAGAAACCAGCAGGGAAGATGCTGTTGTGACAGTGGCCAACTTGTTGTGGCCGTGGGCCAGTTGCCTGCAGAGGACAGATGCAGGAAAAATGCCTCAGAGATTGCTGAGAGGTGTAACTCTAGTGCTCTTACATCTGCAAGAGAAAGGTGTGTTCCCTCTGACTCAGGATTTGCTTCCAAATGCTAGCAGGCATGCAGAGGCATGGGGCCCTGGCTGAGCTGCCAGCCCTTGAGGCTGCAGCTGAAACACTGACTCAATCCTCCTAAAACAAGAACCTTCAGTGGCAGAGCACTGCCTGGACAGCGTGGGGCACAGCAGGAGGTGTGCACGAGAGTCTCCTGATGTCTTTTACCTCCCACTGTAAAGCAGCCCTTGAACAATCTACAGTTGTGGCAGGTTTTGGAACAAATGTGTTATTTTGCTGTTTTCCTATTTTCAAAGGGATTTTGTATTCAACCAAATCAAAGTGATAGGATCATGTGATTGCTGCAGAACAGATGGTAATGCTTAAAGCTTATCTCAGAAGACATAACCTAAGTACAAAATTAAATGTTCAAATATGGGAGATTTATCTGATAGACAGCAAGGAAATGATGTTCAGAGATGATCATTATTGCATTAAAGTGGCTGTGCCTTAATTGGTGTTTATTTCCTTTTAGATGTTTTCTTAAGTGACTAGAATGATTTAAATGTAGGCTAAGCAGAGAGAACTACAGATTTGTGGGGAATGGTAAACCATGGTTCTGGGTGAGTGAATGCCATCCAGGCATGATGCAATGTCTAGGAGGATCATAGGGAGGCACAGTGCCCACTAATTCAGACACATGAAAGTTGCAGCTGCTGCTATTACATCTGGCTGTGATAGACTAGCAAGGCAAGGCACTCCTGCCAGCCTGATTTACAGCTGTGGGTTCAGAGCAGGAGAAAAGTGAGAAGGGAATTATGCTCCTGCCTTCTCAGGTCACCATGTTATGCCCATGAGGACACTGAAAATGGGGAGTCCCAAGACACTACTTGTCTGTCAGGGAAAGCAAGGTCAGGTGACATGGAGGGAATACAGAGGTGCTGTTCACCACTGCAGGGAGAAAATTTGTGTGGCCAAAGCTCAACTGGAGGTGAAGCTGCCCACAGCTGTGGGAGACCATACAAACGGGGGGGGTTTTTTTGTTTTTTTTTAATGCATTGTCCTAGAGGGTAGAAAAAATACAGACTGGGGAATGAGAGGCTGGAGAGCAGTGCCGTGGAAAGGGACCTGGGGATCCTGGTTGATGGAAAGCAGTCCCCTGGCAGACAGAAGGTCACTTGGTTCGTTCAGCCTGGAAAAGAGGAAACCAAGGGAAGGCCTCATTGTGGTCAACATTCTCATGAGGGAAAGTGGAGAGGCAGGCACTGATCTCTTCACTCTGGTGACCAGTGACAGGACCTGAGGAAAAGGCCTGAAGCTGTGCTGGGAGAGGGTTAGGTTGAATATTAGGAAAAGTTTTTCACCCAGAGGGTGCTTTTAAATTGGAACAGGGCTCCCCAGGCAGTGGTCACAGCACCAAGCCTGACAGAGCTCAAGGAGTGTTTGGAGGCACAGGGTGTGATTCTTGGAGCTGACCTGTGCAGGGCCAGGAGCTGGACTTTCATGATCCTTGTGGGTCCCTTCCAACTCAGGATATTAGATGTTTCTATGATTCTATTATTTGATTTATTCACTTTTTTACCCTTTTTCATTTAGCATTGAATACTTGCAGGCTAGTTACAAAACAGCTAGAGTATCTCTTCAGAGTGATTTTTTTTCATCACAACGGATGTGTCTGTATGACCAAACCAGAAGACTTGGATGCAGAAGCCCTGTAAACTGAGATTGTAAACTTGATGCAGCATTAGGGGGCATTTGTTACTCTCTTGTGAGTGTGAGGAGACTAAATCAAAATGATCGTTTTGTACCCTAGTGCAGCAAATGGAGGAAGCATAGTGCTTTCTAAATTATATGCAGTGAAATTGTGGCTCATATTCAAAAAGCATTTCTTGGCATGGAGTAGGGCCTTCTGCAGTTCATTTGGGCTTCATAAAGAGCAAGCAGCAGCTTCACAGAAGTTAAACCTGGAAGACAAGGAACTAAGGAGAAGAGCTCAGAGGTTTGGTAGGAAGTCAGAGAAGTGGGGTTAGGAGCATGAGTAAAAGCCAAGGTGCTGGGGACAAAGGTCTGAAGGCAGGTGTGGGAATGTACAGTGTCCTGCAAGAAGGGCAGAATAGCAGCACAGAGCCAAATGGGAGAAGACAGCTTAGGATGTGTGTGGTGGGCTGTGGAGGAGAGCAGACACATCAGGGATGGACAGGGAAGGGCGGAGTCTTTCATACAAGATTAAAACATTAAAATGCTTAAATATTTCAAGATCTAAATCTGAAAAATGTTCATATAAACAAAAGGTTTCACCCCGCTCTCCAGCTTTCCTTTGAATACCCCACCAATCTGCCTTAAGCCTTTTTAGAAGGACCAGCTCACGGGAGAGAAATATTAATTCATTCTACATGCTGAGACAGTCTTTGACCTGCCTACTGAGTCTGCCAAAAAAGTTCCATTTATTGTTGTACTTTTAAAGCTGTGAGTGTCTGTATTTACTAGAATTGAGAAATACAGTTACCTTTTCAGAAGGGTTATCCTCACCAAGTAAAAATCATGTGCCAGTGATTTTACTCTTTACTGTAGGCCAAAAGGTTGTATGTTCAGTTGAAAATAACTGGGGACATCCATTTTCACATTTTCAGGGAGATTATAGTCTATCTATTTTTCTACCATCAATGAGGTCAATTTCTAGAAAATGCTGAATGCAGTGATGGGAGATTCCCTCTTTAGGCATGAGGGCACTTTAGAAAGAAGATGCTTCATCCAAGCTGAGATGGGCAAAGGAACACTGACAGCACAATTGAAGCAGATTGCAATTAGAAGGAAGGAAAATTATTTGCAATATATTGGATTCAGCCATGTTGTTTGTATCCATCATTATAAAAGCTAAGTTCTTAAATTTGCAAACCACACATCATCTTCAGCTTCCACTAAAATAGAAGCTTAGAGCTTTGCAGGCCCTGAATGTAAAATATGGAATACCTCCAAAAACAAGCATTCAGTATACAAAATTAAAATTAAAGGACTCTTAATTATATGCCAGGGATCCATTACAACAGTATTTATGGAATGAATAATTATTTTCCCTCTAAATCCTTATCTATAATTAAAAAATCCAGGAACTGAATTACAAGTACAGAAATGTATCTTAGGTGTTCCTTGCCACTTCAGTAGCACTCTGGTATTTCATTATGATGTCACTGCTTATAATAATATAATGCATTATATCATTATGTAAAATGTTGAGCAGAGGTGGATTTATTGGGAAGCCTTGGGGAGCTGTAACCTCCCTTTTTGCCCCCACCCTTTTGCTAGGTGTATTTGTGTAAGCGGCTGCAGCACCTCCTGCCTCTGTCTCATAGCCTCATGTAGCCGCATAGGGAGCACGGAATGGGAC